ATAGCGGAGCTCTCTGCAGGGACACTTTTTGCTGTACTGGAATTCTTCTTATTTTCATCCTACTTCTTCTTCTTCTTCTTCATCCTCATCCTCATCCTCTTCTTCTTCATCCTCATCCTCATCCTCATCCTCTCTTCTTTCATCCTCATCCTCTTCTTCTTCTTCTTCATCCTCATCCTCTTCTTCTTCATCCCTCATCCTCCTCTTCTTCTTCATTCTCATCCTCTTCTTCTTCATTCTCATCCTCTTCTTCTTCATTCTCATCCTCTTCTTCTTCATTCTCATCCTCATCCTCTTCACCCTCATCCTCATCCTCTTCACCCTCATCCTCCTCTTCATCATCCTCATCCTCTTCTTCTTCATCCTCTTCTTCCTCATCCTCATCCTCTTCTTCTTCATCATCCTCATCCTCTTCTTCTTCTTCTTCATCCTCATCCTCATCCTCTTCTTCTTCCTCATCTTCTTCTTCTTTTTTCTTCTTCTTCTTCATCCTCTTCTTCTTCTTCATCCTCATCCTCATCCTCCTCTTCTTCTTCTTCTTCTTCTTCGTCCTCATCCTCTTCTTCTTCTTCATCCTCTTCTTCTTCTTCATCCTCTTCTTCTTCTTCATCCTCATCCTCTTCTTCTTCTTCATCATCCTCATCCTCTTCTTCTTCTTCTTCATCCTCTTCTACTTCTTCTTCTTCATCCTCATCCTCATCTTCTTCTTCTTCATCCTCATCCTCTTCTTCTTCTTCATCATCATCCTCATCCTCTTCTTCTTCATCATCATCCTCATCCTCTTCTTCTTCTTCGTCGTCATCCTCATCCTCTTCTTCTTCTTCGTCGTCATCCTCATCCTCTTCTTCTTCTTCCTCATCCTCTTCTTCTTCTTCTTCCTCATCCTCTTCTTCTTCTTCTTCTTCTTCTTCCTCATCCTCTTCTTCTTCTTCTTCATCCTCTTCTTCTTCTTCCTCTTCTTCTTCTTCTTCTTCCTCATCCTCTTCTTCTTCTTCTTCTTCTTCTTCTTCTTTCATCCTCTTCTTCTTCCTCATCCTCTTCTTCATCCTCTTCTTCTTCCTCATCCTCTTCTTCTTCTTCTTCTTCTTCTTCTTCTTCTTCCTCATCCTCTTCTTCTTCTTCTTCCTCATCCTCTTCTTCTTCTTCTTCCTCATCCTCTTCTTCTTTCTTCTTCCTCATCCTCTTCTTCTTCTTCTTCCTCATCCTCTTCTTCTTCTTCTTCTTCTTCTTCCTCATCTTCTTCTTCTTCATCCTCATCCTCATCCTCTTCTTCTTCTTCTTTTTCTTCATCCTCATCCTCTTCTTCTTCTTCTTCCTCATCCTCATCCTCATCCTCATCCTCTTCTTCTTCTTCTTCTTCTTCTTCCTCATCCTCATCCTCTTCTTCTTCTTCATCCTCATCCTCTTCTTCTTCTTCTTCATCCTCATCCTCTTCTTCTTCAATAGAAGCTGCTTCTGCTCCGCCACTCTGCCATTGGACTCTTGATAGTCGTCTCCCCACGCTGCTGCTGGGGGGACTTTTTAACATAGGCCTCTGTATGGCCTTCAATTTAAGCTGCTTACGCTTCGCCACTCTGCCATGGGCCCCTATATACCGCCTCCTCATGCTGCTGCCAGGTCCAGAGTGTGTCATGGGTCCCTGTACGGCCTCCCATTGCTGCTGTCTCCATCGCCACACTCTGCCATGTGCCACTTTCAGGTCTCCTCACACTGCTGGTGGGTTCCATTTTGTCATAGGGTGCTGTATGGCCTCCCATTGCTGCTGCCTCCACCGCCACACTGTGGCTCCACACTCTGGTTTTGGCCCCGTGACTGCCCAAATGAGTGAAGTGTGCGGTGATTCTAAGATCAACGGCACTCATCTGCATGTCATACTGACTGACAGTATTATTTCTCTTCCCCAGCAGACTCCAAGGGCATTTAAATTAAAGGTACAGTGTTCTGCACTAATATAAAGGCTCTCTGAAGCCTAGAAACCCTTTTAATAAGTTAAATTCGCAGCGAATAAATTTGCATCGAATCGAATTTATTCCGCAAATTCGGCGAATCAGCCGAATCGAATTTTTGAATAATTCGCTCATCTCTAGTAAACATCAATAATGTGTAATCAGCAGTGGTGGTGCTGCTGGCTACACATTGATATTCACATGTCAGCCGGCCCAGTGAGGTGTAAACATCAACACAAATGTTACCTGTGTACAGCGTATTGACAACTTCTATGCAGGACCTTGCTGGCAGCACGATCCCACATCAAACCAAACATTACCCCTGAGTGCATCAACCCCATTGCTTGTTTTTTCTAAGGAATGAGATAGAGTTTCTACTTCCACTTTCCACTGGTCACCCTTCATGACCAGACCATTTTTTGTTATTCAGCACTGAGCTACTTTAACTGGTAATTGCTCAGCTATGCAACGCTGAACCCAAACTAAATTTATATACTTTTTTTTCACACAAATAGAACTTTCTTTTGGTGATATTTCATCACCACTGGGGTTTTTAATTTTTTAGTATATAAAAAAAAAAAAAGACCTAAAAATTTAAAAAAAACAAACAAACAATATTTTCTGCTATAAAACATTTCCAAAAAAAAAAATTAAAAAGTCGAATTTTCTCATATTTTGGCCAAAATGTATTCTGCTACATGTCTTTAGTAAAAAGAAATAAATCCCAGTAAGTGTATATTGATTGGTTTGTGTGAAAGTTCTAGCGTCTACAAACTATGGGCTAGATACTGGAATTTGTATTTATTTTTTTATAATAATAATAATGGTGCAACTTATAGTGGGACTGCAACAGTGAGCCAGGCACTCTGACACTGACACTGGGGAGAACTGACTAACTGTCATCTCCAGTGAAAGGAATACAGTGATCAGTGCAAAAAATATACACTGTCACTGTACTAGTGACACTGGCTGGGAAGGGGTTAACATCTAGGGCGGTCAAGGGGTTAAATGTGTGCCTAACTATGTGTATGTACTGTTTGCTGTTTCATTAAGAAATGTGCTGATTTTTCAAAACAGCACATTGCTGCTATCCGAAGAGAGCTCTGTGTTGTTTACCAACACAGAGCTCTCTTCTGTCATTCACGGGTCCCGGCCATAAATCATTGGCCATGACCTGCTGAATGGCTTGTGCTGCAGTGAATGCGCTGACCCAGAAGAAAGCCATGATGTGCAAATACATGATTGTGCCTGTACAAGCCGACCTGCCGCAGTAAATGTACTGTGGCCGGTCAGCAAGCAGGTATTTCTCACCTTAATCTAGGTTCTGGTGACAGCCGGACATCATCAAGAGGGACAACAACAAGTCTGGTCAGAGATAGGCAAGACGAGTGGTTTCAAGGAAATGGTCATCACATTCAGAGGGTAGAAGGACTGCGGGACTCTGGAATACAATATGTAATGCTCTAAATTCTCACAACATCATAAAAAAAGAACATTATTATTAATATTATACAGTATTTATAAAGCGCCAACAGTTCGCTCAGCGCTGTACATTACAATGGGAGACAGTACATGAGACAGTACAATAACAATACAATGCGATGTGATACACGAGGGGTTCGAGGGCCCTGCTCCTTGGAGCTTACAATCTTACTTTATTTAGAAAATGGAACAAATCACAGAAAATAAATATTCTGACAGGATGCACAATGCCACCTGTGTGGGTGTGTGTCCCTGAATGTACACGGCCTACATTAGTGGACACGCACAGTTGTCAGCAGCCATGTCTCAATTTGACATCTGAATGGGATTGCCTATGCATCCAATGCAGGCAAAACACGTCCCTCACACAGGAGTACCCTTAAGCATCCCCTTGAGAATGAAGCCTATATTGTCCTGGCATCACCGAGATGAATGAGGCAAAAGCCAAAACTTGGAGTGGTCACCAAAACAGGAAAATAAGTGAATTCCTCCTCTGGGAACACTTGCTGATAAAAGTTGAAAGGTGAATTTTCCTTGCTTTTGGAGAGATTTCCTCTCACTTCCTGTTGTGTCTACAGGACAGGAAATGAAGGGAAATCTCCCCGGTGGGATACTGGGGATTTAACCCTTTCTTACGTCATCAAAAATGGGAAAGTTTTGACTTTAGATACAAGAACTATGATAAACAAGGCTCAGTTGTTATGAATACAGGATGTAAAATGTTTTAAATTTGTATTATACAGAAAAGTGCTAAAGCGAAACGTCAGATATAAAGGAGGGAGAGCTGCCCTCTGAAAACCTATCACTTGTGGATGGACTGAGCGCCCAACAAGTGAACGTCCCGGTATGTCCTGGAAAATAATGACTGTACGGGAATCACACAGGTTCCCACACTAACGATCCAGAGTACATTATAGCGCTCACACGTTTATCACAGCCCCGTCCTCCCCTTTTCTCGCTGGCGCGGTCTTGGTTCGTGTTTAGATAACAGACTTAATCGACCGCGTCTGAGAACAGTTGGCTGATTTGTCTGCCAAGTTTGCCGCACAATTCTTCGCTAAAAGGAGCATATGTTGTTGTAGGGGGAAAAAAAATTGTCAGATCTAATGGTGTTGTTTACAGTACTTCTCTCCAAACATGTTACAAAGGAAATATGTTGTAGACGTATGAAGCGTTATGCTTTCAATTAACGGCACAACTGCGTTCGGGGAAATGCGGGAAGGAAATGTTTCCAGAGAATCAAGCAGCCAGTCCTTAAAGTGAGCCTGTCATGAGGAGCCGCCGTTGCTTACCTCGTCTGAAAATGTCCGCCGCCTGGCCGCCAGTCTGAGGCTTCGCTTCAATACAATGGGAAAATTCAGCTTTCACTGGAGAATATATAACAGAAATGATTGTTACTTGAGCCATTTCATGAGTTTATGGAAAAAATCATAGGTTTGTTTCTACCTGAAGCTGGCGATGAGTTTCCACTATTTGCAAACAAAAATATTAATATATCTCCTTTGCAACCATGGCAGCGGTACTCTGTATAGACAACAATGCACAGGTTTCATCACCTGATAATAATATTAGCTCTCTTCCTTTCCCTTGGGAGTCTGCACGGCGCTCTCCCCGGACCCCGCATTCACTATATCCGCTCTCCCCGGACCCCGCATTCACTATATCCGCTCTCCCCGGACCCCGCATTCACTATATCCGCTCTCCCCGGACCCCGCATTCACTATATCCACTCTCTCCGGACCCCGCATTCACTATATCCGCTCTCCCCGGACCCCGCATTCACTAGATCCGCTCTCCCCAGACCCCGCATTCACTATATCCGCTCTCCCCGGACCCTGCATTCACTATATCTGGTCTCCCCAGACCCCGCATTCCCTATATCCGCTCTCCCCAGACCCCGCATTCACTAGATCCGTTCTCCCCGGACCCCGCATTCAGTATATCCGCTCTCCCCAGACCCTGCATTCACTATATCCGCTCTCCCCGGACCCTGCATTCACTATATCTGGTCTCCCCAGACCCTGCATTCACTATATCCGCTCTCCCCGGACCCTGCATTCACACAGTACACAGAACATGGAAATGCAATTATTTAGTAAATATAAACTGCTAAATCACTTTTCTCATCAGCAGTATACAGCAGTCGTGTGACTTCTATCTGTCCAGCTGAGCACTGGTTAAAGCTTGTAGGAGGAGTTTTTATTCTCCTCTAGCTGTCCTTTGAGGCTGCAGGTCCCCTGACCCTCTTTTCAGAGAGTACTGATATGGCTACTTCGTCCCTAAAACAGTACTAAAAAAAAACAAGAACCTCTCCTGGGACTTTAATGCAGCCAAGAATAACCATAAGGATTATGAGTATAAAATTCTAATTTTTTTATAGAATATATAAAAGGTTTGATTAAAACAGAGGGCTCTAGTCTCTGTATATATAGACTTTTAGCACTTTCCTCAGTGTATGCATCAAATAGTTATTGTACATCATACAAGATTACAATTCACCACAACATTTCCAATGCCTTTCGACAATCAAAGAGTCCTCATCAGGGAAATTATTTCCAGAATACAAAAAGTCACCTCCTGCACTCAGAGAGCCAGATCAGGAATTAGCGGACTGACCATTCTCCACAACAACATATCCACCAAATGATCAAAAGCTGTGCAGCCCTTTTGAAAGGCTGGGGAAGGCTAGGACAATACTGCAATAAGGAACAAAAAAAAGCACACCAGCCTCGCGCATTACCTCAGCGACAAGAATTTTATTGAAGGATAAAGCAGATGTATACTCAAAAACATCACAATTTCATAAGCATGTGTTATCCAATACTGGACAATCAGACTGGAGTCATGTGCGAGTACCAAATGAAGGAAGACCCTATAAAATGACAGAAGATCAACTCTTCCTCAGAGCCAGTTAGACCAAATGTCAGCCTCCCTATAGAAATATTTTAAGACTCACTCCTGTTAATGGGCTGGATAAATCCATCCCTCACTGATTTACCCAGCCCATTAAAGTGGAAGAATGCCTGAGTGATAGAAAAAAGATATAAAAAACGCACTCTCCGCTCCTCACAAGACCTCCTACTCTCTAGTTCCCTGATCTCCTCCTCCCATGCCTGTCTCCAGGATTTCTCCAGGGCTTCCCCCATCCTCTGGAACTCACTACCCCAATCCATCAGACTGTCATCTACCCTCCTCACCTTTAGGCGCACCCTGAAAACCCATCTCTTCATAGAAGCCTACCCCGCCCTCACCTAATTGCCAATCTCCTCCGCTCTTCCCACCACTCCATCCCCCACAGCTATTTCCTCCTGTACCACTATCCCCTCCCTCCTAGATTGTAAGCTCCAAAAAGCAGGGACCTCGAACCCCTCGTGTATTGTATTGTATTGTTACTGTGCTGTCTTGTGTACTGTCTCCCATTATAATGTACAGCGCTGAGCAAACTGTTGGCACTAAATAAATACTGTATAATAATAAAAAAATATATCTATATCAAAAGAACATTTGTACAATAAAGCAACATATATCAAAAACAGAGGATCGAAATATCATCTGTTACTGGAAGTGAGGTGACAGAGGTTCACTGGCTGGTGGAGGTGGTTTGGCTCTTAGAGCTATGGGACAACACTTTATTAGAAACTCAGCTTCATTTTACATGCAGAGATAGCTCATCTATGGCAGTTCCTGCCTTGTCCGAGGCATTGATGAGTGCGCTCTTGGACAGAGGTCCCCCTAGTGCATGGACGTGGTAGGCCCCGCCCCCAAAACGGCGTAGTCGGTAATACACTCACACAACAACCCTACATGCCTACCGAAAATATCCCTAAATCTAGGCAATGTAAATTGAACACATGCAGAGAAAAATGTTCAAGCTGGTTGCAGTTCATGGAAACCACATCTCAAAATGGTGAGCAGACCAAGATACAAAGGCAGCTAAAGTCCATGGAAACCTCCAGTTTTTTTGTTAAACTCCTTCCTATTTGTCCTTTAGTGTGATGTATAGCCTCAATGGTCAATGGGAAGGCAAGATGGGGTGGGACCAAGCATTATCTTACACAAGAACAATTGAGATTGGCTTATGTTCCTCTGTTCTCTCTTTTGATCTGCTGATCATAATATGCACGGTATAATATTCACGGTAAGTTCTGTTTATGTCTTTTTTTTTAATCATATGTTCATGGTTAGTTGGAACTTCTACAACGGGATAGACCTGAAAGGATGTAGGAAGGCAGGACCTATATAGGCAGCATGGGGTGACATGATTTCTGGTGTGTAGAGAATAGGCAGAAATATCAAACGGCAGGAGAATTTATTTTACTCGTTGTTGCTTTTGTTATCACTCCACTTATGTAATTTTTTTTTTATTAGGCTTCAACAATACATTTCAAGGCTTCGGATCAGTCCACATACACTTCAGTTTAATTCTCTTGGTAGAAAATAGAATGGCATAACCTTTAAAGCAATGAGCTGCCCAATATTCTTAGTCTGACACAATAGAAATCTCAGAAGCAGTTTCTTGTCCTTTAAAAGGTAACTCTACTTTTGTGGGGGAAAAAAACAACAAACTGTTATTGAATGTTTTTTTTTTCTAAGCAAAAGTAGAGTTACTCTTTGGGGCAAAGCCTTGGCCATAAAAAAGGGCAGAGAAAAGAAAGGAGGAATTGAAGAGGAAGAAAAGGAGAAGGGTGGGGGGGGCAAGGAAGAAAAGAAAAGGAGGGTAGATGAGGAAGGAGAAAAGAAGAGGGGATATAGAGAGAGAGAGAAGATGGGGGGGGGGGGGGGGGGGGGGAGACGCGAGATGGGAAAGAAGAAACGGCAGATATGGAGAGAAAATAGAATAGAACATAACAGCGAAAGGATGAGGAAGATAAAAAAAGAGGTGGAGGTGGGTAAGGAGGAAATAAAGAAGAATGGGGGTGAGGTAAGAGTAAAGAATAGTGAGGGGACTATGGGGTTTTAAAGAAGAGTGTGTGTGTGTGTGTGGGGGGGGGGGGTGTTAGAATGGAGAAGGGAAGAGTGGAGGGGATGAGGAAGTGAGAAGGGAGAAAACAAGGGCCATACAAAGCGGTGATGAGCAGGAGGACAAAGAATGAGGAGGAGGTGATAAGGGACAAGAAAAAGGGTGAGTGATGAGAAACAAGAAGGTGAAGGAAATGAGCGAAAAGAAAGAGAAGTAAGGAGAGACACAAATAATGGAGGGAGGGTGAGAGACAAGAAGAACGTGGAGGAGATAAGGGATAAAAACTAGGTAGGGAAGATGAGGGACAAGAAGAGAGACGATGAAGCACAAGGGGGTGATGAAGGACAAGACAAAATGGGTGGTGGTGGGGGTCAAAGAGATAAAAGGAAAGGAGAAGTAAGGGAGGGGCAAGGAGAAAGTTGGGACAATAAAAACATGAAACAAGAGGAAGGAATGAGAACAAAGTTGGGTGAAGGGAACAGGAGAAGTAGGAGTTAAGTGGGGTGATGGGTACAGAAAAAAAGTAGGTGGGGACAAGAAGAAGGGGCCATGGGTAAGAAGTGGAAGGAGAGGAAAGAAGAGATACAAGGAGGAGCTATGAAGGGGGTGAGAAGGGAGAAACACACAGAGGGGATACAGGAGAGAACATAGACAAGAAAGAGGGTGATTGATGAGGGACAAGAAGAAGATGGAGGGGATGAGGACCAAATGTACATGAAGATGAGGGAGAGAGTCATAAAAAAAGAGGGGTGCGGATAGACAAGTAGAAAGGGAGAGGTGATGCGCAACAAGAAAAAAGGTGGAGGAGATGAGGAGCAAGAAGAAGAGTGGAGGGATGGGGGGGGGGGGGATAATAAGGAAAAAAAAGAAGAGCAGGGAGTGGATAAGGGAGAAGAAGGACAAAAAGGGGATAAGGGACAAGAAGAAGGGAGAGGGGATGGGAGACAAGAAGAAGGGAGAGGGGATGGGAGACAAGAAGAAGGGAGAGGGGATAAGAGACAAGGAGAAGGGGGAGGGAATGAGAGGAGACACGAAAAAGGAAAAAAGGAGGTGGGGGGTGAAGAAGAACACAAAGCTAAAAAGGGGTGGTAGTGATAAAAGAGGAGGGAGTAAGAGAGGACAAAAGGAATGGGGAACAAGAAAAAAAAAGGAAGTATGGGGGAAAAGAAAGAATTTGGGGTGAGGGGTGTAGGAAGAAGGGGAGGGGGAGATGAGGGTAAAGAAGAAAGAGGGATCATAAGCATGGGGGTAAGGAGGAACGTGAAGATGGTGTAGGGAATAAGGGACAAGAAAAAGGGGAGGGAAAAAAAGAAGGTTAGGAAGGGGGTGGCGAGGAAGGGCAAGAGGAAAGGCAGAACAAGAAAAAATGGGGATAGAGATGGAATAGGAGGAGAGGTGATAAGGGACAAGAAGAAGGGGGTGGAGGAAAGTGGAAAAAGGGGTGTGTGGAATGGAGGAGAAAGGAAAAAAGGTGAGGTAGAGGGAATAGGAGATGGTTTGGGAGGAATGAGGGAAAAGGCATTTGGGGAAGGTGTGAGTGCGGAGGGGGGGGGGGCAAGTGGGGGGGTGAAGGGTGGAGATATGATGTGTGAAGGAGATATGTGAAGGCACTGGATGAGAAGTGGTGTGAGTGTGTAGGACTGGATGTGAAGTGGTGTATGTATGTAGGACTGATTGTGAACTGGTGTGTGTAGGATTGGATGTGAAGTGGTGTGTGTACAACTGGATGTGAAGTGGTGTGTGTAGGACTGGATGTGAAGTGGCATGCGTTGGACTGGATGTGAAGTGGTGTGTGTGTAGGGCTGAATGTAAAGTGGTGTGTGTGTGTGTAGGACTGGATGTGAAGTGGTGTGTGTGTGTGTGTAGGGCTGGATGTGAAGTGGTGTGTGTGTAGGACAGGATGTGAAGTGGTGTGTGTGTAGGACAGGATGTGAAGTGGTGTGTGTGTAGGACAGGATGTGAAGTGGTGTGTGTGTAGGACAGGATGTGAAGTGGTGTGTGTGTTTGTGTAAGGCTGGATGTGAAGCTATGTGTGTAGGGCTGGATGTGAAGTGGTGTTTATAGGGCTGGATGTGAAGTGGTGTGTGTAGGGCTGGATGTGAAGCGGTGTGTGTAGGGCTGGATGTGAAGCGGTGTGTGTAGGGGCTGGATGTGATGTGGTGTGTGTAGGGCTGGATGTGAAGCGGTGTGTGTGTAGGGCTGGATGTGAAGCGGTGTGTGTGTAGGGCTGGATGTGAAGTGGTGTGTTTGTGTGTAAGGCTGGATGTGAAGTGGTGTTTGTAGGGCTGGATGTGAAGTGGTGTGTGTGTGTAGGACAGGATGTGAAGTGGTGTGTGTGTGTAAGGCTGGATGTGAAGTGGTGTGTGTAGGGCTGGATGTGAAGCGGTGTCTGTCTGCAGGGCTGGATGTGAAGTGGTGTCTGCAGGGCTGGATGTGAAGCGGTGTCTGCAGGGCTGGATGTGAAGTGGTGTCTGCAGGGCTGGATGTGAAGCGGTGTCTGCAGGGCTGGATGTGAAGTGGTGTGTGTGTGACTGGATGTGAAGGGGAGAGATGTGTGAGCAGTAGTGAAAGAGCTGGAATAGGGAGATAGGAAATCATTCTCACCCCCATTGCTCCTCTGCTGATCCTCCTCCACCTTTTGGTCCTTTGGAAAGTTAGTCAGCATGGAACTTAGCTCATTGAATACAGTCCTTGTAAAGAATTAGGATATCTTCCAGATTAATCCATCTAATTTCTCTGGAACCAGCAGGTTCCATGCAAGTCGCTTCCTATCATACCTTTAGTATTAAAGTAAATTTGGAAAATTGTGGCAAGTGGTGTCCTCATCTAGCCTGCAAACCACTTATCTTTCCGGAGGCAGAGCTGTCTGTGATGCAGTGTTCCTCAGCATGGTGCAGACTACCATCAGTTGAAAATGTCTGTTCCAGGAGTTCAGAAGGTTTCCACCAAGAACAGAGCTTGAAGTCAATAAATAAAGTAAAAGAAAATGAGAGTCACACCACTTCCAGGCCTGCAGGACAAACACATACAAATGATACCATACCTGACAGAACACAGGAAGGGATCTCGGCTTGATCATGTCCTGTTCCACAATTATTTTCTTCACAAAATCCACTCAGTCATTTCTGCAACTCTCCAGTACACCATCTTCTGCACCACTAACACGGTAATTCTATGGGAGGAAGGAGCCACATCTGAATTTACAAACATTTTAGAAGTATGTGAACCCACCAGATAAGAGCTGACATATGTCGGTTTATATTTACTAAAATAATTGCATTTCCATGTTGTGTGTGCTGTGGGAGACCGGATATAGTGAATGCAGGGTCCGGGGAGAGCGGATATAGCGAATGTGGGGGTCCAGGGAGAGCGGATATAGTGAATGTGGGGTCCAGGGAGACCGGATATAGTGAATGCAGGGTCCGGGGAGAGTGGATATAGCGAATGTGGGGTCCAGGGAGAGCGGATATAGCAAATGTGGGGTCTGGGGAGAGCAGATATAGTGAATGTGGGGTCCAGGGAGACCGGATATAGTGAATGCAGAGTCCAGGGAGAGAGGAAATAGTGAATGCGGGGTCCAGGGAGACCAGATATAGTGAATGCGCGGTCCGGGGAGAGCGGATATAGTGAATGAAGAGTCCGGGGAGAGCGCGATATAGTGAATGCAGGGTCCGGGGAGAGCGGATATAGTGAATGCGGGGTCCGGGGAGAGCGGATATAGTGAATGCGGGGTCTGGGGAGAGCGGATATAGTGAATGCGGGGTCCAGGAAGCCTGGATATAGTGAATGCAGGGTCTGGGGAGACCAGATATAGTGAATGCAGGGTCCGGGGAGACCGGATATAGTGAATGCAGGGTCCGGGGAGACCAGATATAGTGAATGCGGGGTCCGGGGAGACCGGATATAGTGAATGCGGGATCCGGGGAGACCGGATATAGTGAATGCGGGGTCCGGGGAGACCGGATATAGAGAATGCAGGGTCCGGGGAGACCGGATATAGTGAATGCAGGGTCCGGGGAGAGCAGATATAGTGAATGCGGGGTCCGGGGAGACCGGATATAGTGAATGCAGGGTCCGGGGAGAGCAGATATAGTGAATGCGGGGTCCGGGGAGAGCGGATATAGTGAATGCGGGGTCCGGGGAGACCGGATATAGTGAATGCAGAGTCCGGGGAGACCGGATATAGTGAATGCAGGGTTCGGGGAGACTGGATATAGTGAATGCAGGGTTCGGGGAGACTGGATATAGTGAATGCAGGGTCCTGGGTTTAGTAACACTTTAAGACACTTTATTTAAAAGGAGTAGGAAAGTATTAGAACCTCCGGCAGGTTTTGTAGCCATCTCTTCAAGTTTACCTTCTTTATATAATGGTCACTAGAACAGGAAGTAAAGTGAAATCTAACATTTTTCACTTGTTGCAAGAACAGGAGCAGAGGAGAAAGATTCCAATGGGGACAGCTGTTTTGGTGACAACTGTCTAAATACTGTCTCCAACTCCCCGAAAGATCTCTTCTTACTTTGAATTACGTCTCAGGAAGTGAGGGAACACAGCAAAAAAAGAACCATCTGAATCTCCAGGTTGTGTTTCTGGAATGTATTGGCATACTGTAGAGAACTAAGCCAAGCTAATCATTTATAATGACTCTTCATTATCAGGTATGCAGATGTAATTGCCTCTCCTTTGTATGGGGTCTCGGGGGACATCAAACCTGGTGAAGCCTCTTCTGCAATGTGAACAGTTCAATCAACAACTGCGCTGCGAGATTTATATTTTCCAGGCACTCCGATCGCTTCAAGCCCTACAAAAGCAAAACCGCCTCTCCACCGAAAGTAAAGTATGATTAAAGGCGGTGGAACTGTGGCTGGCAAAAAAAAGAAAGAGGGAAAGTAATTTGCTTTGACCTAAGCCATAAATCTAGAGGGCAGTAATGACCGTCTTTTGACACAAGTTGGGACGTTGATTAAGTAGACACCTTGAGCCAAACAGTAACACTACAGCAAAAAAACGCTCAGCGCCAGATTCTCTTTAAAAGAGAACTCAGTTGGTTGGATATAATATGATGTTTGATCCGGATAATAACACCTGCCACTTTGCCTGACTCCTACCCATCCATCTTTATTGATCCAGACATTGTATTTGTGTATTGAAATTGCAATAGGACAGCCTTTGATATTCCTAACACCTCTTTCCGCATTTCATTTGAAAGAAGGTAGCCTACGGAGTGATAAAAGGAAAAAAAAGATCGTTAGATTAATGGAAACACTTGTGGTATGGTATTTTGCAATGCATCGATCTGAGCTTGCTTGGGAATTGTCGCAACGCAGTTTATCCCGACGATCAGTACATAAGTGTATAATAAGGCACTTGCAGTAATGCACTATTGGAAATCAAATACTGCAGGTTTAAAGCCAAAAAAAACTGAAACTAATGCAAATGAACACCTCGCCCTACAGAGGATTTACCCCCCTTCCTGACCTGGCCATTTTTCCACTTCAAGAGAGAAAGATCATCACTGGAAGATGACGAGAGATCAGGAGACCTTCAATGAGCTCAACCTCTAAAAATTCACTCTTCCAGAAGATGAAAATCCAGCTCAAAGGTCGCCATTTTGACAAGATGAAGCGGTTTGCCCAGTTTCACGCAGAATTTCACGTTTGCTCCTTGTTCTAACTTGCTGTCCATGATGAAATATCAGACATGGTAATGCACATGGTCAGAATAGCACTAGTTACACAGCTCCCGATCAGGGCTGTGGATAAGGGGGTACCACCAGTCCACCTGTACGGGGCCCAGGCCAGCAGAGGGGCCCAGGCAGCTGGGTGAATTGGTTGTGGGCAGGGAGGGTGATTGGGGCAATGGGGGGCAATTACTGGAACCGATCCCCTGCATGGCTCTTTCTGCAGCATTTGCAAGCTGGATTATTTTCCTCTCCCTCCCGCTGCTGGGTTTTCAGCTGTAGCAGAGAGCCATACAGGGGATTGGTTCCAGTAATTGCCCCCCCCCCCCCCCCGCGCCCACTATGCCGATCACCCTCCCTGTGCACAACTGATTCACCCAGCTGCCTGGGCCTCCACAGTGCCGGCTTCCCTCCTCTCCTTTCCATAGGCAGCTGCAAGCACACAATAGGATCCTTCAGGATGGAGAGTGGGGGAAGGGTTCGGTAATTATGTCACATTAACCAGCCACGTCCTTTCCTGAATTAACACAAAGAGTGATAGGTACTGATCACTCACTGTGTGCATTCATAACTGAAGCATAGCAAACTGTATTTTTTTTTTTTTGAAGGGAGCCCATTCAGCTTGGTTGTATGAAGCCCCATAGATTCTAACAGAAGCCCTGGTCCCCGATGTACACAGGACGATGTGTTTTGGCACACTGACTTATGAACGTCAGTGCTTCCTGTAACTGTACGTGCAGCCTTGTGCTGCCATCTGTTGGTGTGTTACAAAACTAGTCTGAAAACTTGTTGATACCACCTCATAATCATATAGTGGTTGCATAGAGTATCAATGCTGCAGCGATTTCACCAAAAGGCATTTACTGGTCACCTTGTTGTAATTACAGGTATGTTTAGGATATATAGTTTTCAATTTTTGCTCATAGTTGGCCCTTTTGCTCAAAAAATAGGTGCAGGAACTCCCCCTCCTGAGTCACTTCTTGTCTCTGCCCCTAACCACCATCACTTGGTTCCACCCCCTACCCACCTTCTTGCACCTCTCCTTTTTGAGAATACAGAGCCAAATACCATTTTGTGGTGCTAAATACAATTATATGGAATTTGTTAATGATAAAAAGAAAATTAGAAAAATAGATCCTCCACAGCCAGCAGGAATTGACCCTCCCCCCCAGCAACAATAGATTCCTCCAGCAACAATGGACCCCCAAAACAAAATACCACAACAGCAACAATAGACCCCCAGCAGCTACAACAGATCTTGAAGCAGCCAGCATTGATGGACTCTCCATCAGCCAGCAACAACAATAGACACTTCCCTCAACAATAGGTCCCCTCCAGCAACAAGTGACTCCCATCAACCATAGATCCCCACACCAGCAACAATAGACCTCACCAGCAACAATAAACCCCGTAAGTGTCAATAGATCCCCCAGCAGTCAGCAACAATAGATCCTCCAGCACCCCTTGAAATTACATACATTCAGTGCCAGATGTTCCAGAACTCAGTTCCCCCCCGCCCTGGTTGTACTACAAGTTGATCCTCCTTTTGCTTTTCGTGTTACTCATTAGCTATTCCACCGTCCATGAGAGTTTATCATTTATTATTGCTGAACACAGTTGGTCTGCTTTAATTATCGCTCTCTTATAACTGTGCCCCATAGACCTGACCCAATTCCAAATTCTGGACTGTAAAAAAAAAAAAAAAAATCTCTTTATTGTACTGTGTGTAAAAAGTTACCTAAACATTTCTCCATGATTTAAAAAAAAAAAAAAAGTGTTTCCAAGTACCATCATTAGGTCTCTTTACTTGTCATTCCAGTCCACTCCCAGCCATCATTCTGACATCAGTGTGAAACAAAGATGGCACCTTCTCAGAAATATGCTAATGAGGGTGTGCAGACAGGTGGCCTCCTGTGATTTGTCTGCGTCTTTCCAATAACAGCTGAATTCACAATGCATTTAGTCTAATGAAGGTGACAAAAGTGATTAGATTCTGCCAGTCCCCCAAACCATTAATCATTGATAGCTGAGCAATGTGTTTAACATTGCATGTGTCCGCAGCTTTCAGGGAAGAAAATGCTAGACAAATATCTAGATCGGGGCCATGCCAACGAAGAGACGCGGCAGGAAAACGGGCCTACAGGTTTGTTGGTAATGGGGCCATTTATACCAATGTTTTGGTGTGGCTGAATCAAAGCCCTGACATTGATTCTACGGAAAGGTGCTCAAAGGTCCTGAAGCAGGACAAAGCCTATCATCATCTCGGAGTTGAAACTAGACATGTACAGAAAGAAAAAATGTGTTTCGTTTCATTTTGGATCGTTTTATTAAAGGGATAAGTTCACCTTTTGGACAAAAATAATAAATGCACATTTTTTGCACGTAAAAAAAAAATGTGCATTTATTATTTTTGTACAAAGGAGCCGGGAAAGCATTGCACCAGCGATCAGTAGATCACTGATACCATGAAGGTCTCCTGCAGACCTGTCAGAATATCTGCTTGCTGTACGGGATGTATGGGATGTACTGGATGTACGGGATGTACGGGATGTATGGAATGTACGGAGTGTACAGAGTGTACGGGATGTATGGAATGTATGGGATGTACGGGGATGTATGGGATGTACAGGATGTACGGGATGTATGGGGTGTATGGAATGTACGGGGTGTACGGGGTGTACGGGATGTATGGAATTGTATGGGATGTATGGGATGTACGGGATGTATGGGATGTACGGGATGTATAGGATGTACAGGATGTACGGGCAAGTAGATACAGACAGGAAGCTGCAATGGATTATACTGAAAACTACAAGCCGACAGCCTTTAAGGCTAGGCACTCATTCACAGAACTCTGTAAATGAATGACACAGCCATATGGGCGGAGCCCTGCACAGCCGCGCTCTTTTCAAATCTGACAGATAGTATGGGGGAACTTCTCCCCGTAATATCTGTCAGAGGGAGGGGGCGACAGGCGCGGCTATGGGAACATGTTACATGTTCCACCCTAAAAGCAGGTGGAGCATGTAACATGTTCCCAAAGGTGAATTATCCTTTAAGTTACTAATTAGTCTCATTTCATTTATTCGGTTTTGACCAGATAAAATTTTTCCACTGGGGTAGAAGTATTAAAATCGAATTTAAATTGAAAATATCTTATTGATCTGAATTCATTGTGAACAATAGCTGGTTCTATTCTATTTGAATTTTGGAAGACAGCTATATTCTTTCTATCTTATTCTATTCTATTCGAAAGTTGAATTTCCCCTTTTCGAAAATTGAATTTCGGAAGACGGCTATATTCTATTTTATTCTCTTCTAATCTATTCTATTTTTTTCTATTCTACTCCTTTCTATTTTCTATTCTAGTCTATTCCTTTATTTTATATTATTTCTATTCCTTTATTTTCTATTCTATTTATTCTATTTTTTTCTATTCTATTTTATTCTATTTTTTACGAAATTTGAAATTCAGAAGATGGCTATATTCTATTCTATTGGAAATTTGAATTTCAAAAGATGGCTATGTTCTATTTTATTCTATTATGTTC